GAGCCCAAGACAGCCTCAACCACAGGCGGTGCAGGTAACACACTTTACAGCCAAGAGCTAAATACATATGCACAAGAAGAAGTGATTAAACCCTCATCTGGGTGGGGGACAGGAGGGGGCGACACTGACTTGATAGAGCCCAAGACAGCCTCAACCACAGGTGGTGCAGGTAACACACTTTACAGCCAAGAACTAGATATCGCTGAACTGGAAAGTAATATCATACCCACAAGAGGGGTATTAACAGGTGTTGGAGACAGAGGAGGGGTCTTTTTGGGGGGCAGGGGTAGCCCAATGTACTCCCACACTTCTGGAGTCGTAGACGAGGTGATAACAGCCAAACTGGACTTCGCCACTGAAGATGATGTGGACAGCGACTCTGCACCTGCGATCCAAGAAGACATCATCTCTTCAACCCAAGGTTCCGTCACTGGAGGGGGCCTCGGTAACACAAAGTACACTATGGAGCTTAACGCAGCAGCAGCCGAGGGTGTCATCTCACCTGCAATGGCTTGGCAAACTGGTGGAGGTGACACCTATCCCAGGGTTCCAGTGGAGGAAGCAGTGGAACCGTCGTCAACCACTGGCACTGGGGGAGGAGATGGGAATGCGCTTTACTCTCGAGAGCTTGATGTGGAGGAGGCTATCACACCTGGTCATGCCTCAATCACAGGGGATAGGGGGAATCCTGAGTATTCTAGAGAGCTGGGAGAAGGTAAGGTGTTAAGGTGTTCTGCAAAATGGTGTATTGAAGGTTAGCAAGACAACTTATATGATTATGTAGTATAGATGTGATTTTATTTGTTTGCTTTTGTTATGCAGGCAATTGAGAATTTAAAAAAGATAACTACAGTTGAAATAAAAATCCATGTTAGGTATCCTAAAGTTGTTTATTTTGCATATATGCTAAGTAAAGTAACATTTTCTAGAGTAAGTATAAATGTTCTTTTCTTAAAAAAGGGATATTTAAGATGAGAAATGAACCAAAACAAAAAGCCAAACTGTAAAGTGAGGAAGCCTACATGAAAAAATACCACTCCCTTTTTCTGTGCAAAGTTTGGGATTTTCTAACCATGCATTGTAAAAACGGATATTGTGAAGAACATTTAGTAATTTCATTTTAATATTGTCAATTATTGTCAATTATGTAGCTTTTAAGGTTGTTGTCTGAGAGAAGAAATTTAAGTAATTGATTTTAATATTGTTTGAGTAAACAACATGTTACTTCAATATTTCCTGCCATCCATAACACTTTATGTGATGATTTCTGAAGAAATTAAAGAATATTTTTCTGTAGATGTTGATGAGAAGAATGAAGAAGAAGAAGAGGAAGAAGATGATGATGAAGATGATGAACAGGTTCTCTTTGAGAAGAGAGGAACTCTTTCTTACAAGGAGGGAGATAAGTGGAAGGTAGGGAATTTTCTCCCTTTCAGTAGAGCAGTTTGGAATTTGTAAACAATATCTCTGAAGAAATCAAATTAAATGTAACTATTTATCAATATAAATGTAATGGAACGAACCTTGAGTTACATCTCCAACATGACTAGATTTGTAGATAGTTTACTGATTGCAAATTGATTCTGTCACATTTTCAAATTAAATGCCAACTTGCAGCATTAAAATGGAAGCTAACTAGATAGTACCTCATTTATTGGAAAGTAAATTCTTGCACAGAAATTGTGTTAAATGTGGTGTTTAATATTAGACTGTGGGCATGGGCAACTTCAAAGTGATATATGATGACGACGTGAACGGCTCTCGCATCTACATGTGCTCTGATGATGACCAGATGTTATGCAGCCACCTTATTCTGCAGGAGATGAGCATAGAATGGTGAGTGGTTTCACTTTCATTTTCTGGTTTCACTTTCATTACTTGACAATTTTTTGTAGTTCATGTTTACAGTATATTTATGAAGGAAATGTTGTTTTAGTGCTATGTTAAGATGATTCACATTTTTGTGCCTGTGTTTTTGTGCCTGTGTTTCGAAATATGGGACTTTTTAAATATTTTTGCTGTATGATATAAAAAATATTTTATTTCAGTAATGAAAAACTAAAGAGCTGCACCTGGGATGCCCATGACTTTGCCACAGATGAAGCTGTGAGGAAGAATTTCAGAATTCAGTTCAGCTCTGCCCAGGCTGTGAAGGAGTTTAAGGACGTGTTCAATCAGGTGAGGTGCATTATGGGTGCAGAATTATTGCCCTAAGAGTTTGTTTATCTTTAACTGGAATATCTTTTCCCCCTCAGTGTGTGAGTACAAGTAGTTGGTGCCCGTTTCCATTGTTGAATTTTTGGCTTTATTTTATTTTCATCCAGGGTTTAGAACTTGCCAGAGAGAGCGAGCTCTCAGAGAAGGACATCATCACAGTGCCCTCAGAGATTATGACACCAGAGGTCGCTGGTATTGGAGCGACACCTGGTGAGGAGAATGATGTGCCTTTCTACCAGCAGGGGGCGACACTGAAGGACCTAGTGCAAGGTGGGCCCAAGTTAGACTAAAGTTTTTATTTATTATTTTTGTTATTATTTATATATTTTTTTAATATATTTATTTTAGCGTAAAGAAAAATCAAAATATCATAAGCCTGAACCAGTGATTGTGTTATTTATGAATATTTTGTCCGAAGTTTATGTCTGATTATTATGAGCAACCAGTGTAATGGACCATTCACAATGAATTTTGTCAACCTATCTAATGTGCCCCAATATCAGCTAGACCGACAAGATTCATGGTGAATAGTCCCTTACATATTTTGATGATGGTATCCAATATTTAAGAAATAGTGTCCAAGAATGTAATATTTTTATCTTTATGTGGTCATTTCTTAAAAAAAAAATATTTGAAGTTGTTCGTAATTGTTTCCTCATCCTTTTTGCAGGTGCTCTAGATACAAAAGAAGAAAAAGAGGGATAAAAAGATTCAATTTAAACACAGAATGTTAAATGTTCACTTGTTAACAACAGCTGTTACAGGAATCCTATCGCCTGCCCATGTTTCAAGCACAGTGCTGTTCACATGCATATTATCTGTCAGAACTTTATGGAATTCAACAGGCAATTTTGACTTGGAAACGAACTCAGTTTTTTTATCAGTATCACAATTATGGACAATAAAATTCATTAGGACATTTGGAGGAGAAGAAATGATTTTAGGGAGCTAGAGGAAGTGCCTTGTGATTATTGAAGTGAACTGGATACTGAATTTCACTGTGTTTTAGAGAGAGAGAATTATTTTGGTTGTTTTATACACTGAGCATAACTGAGTCTACCCCATCCCCCACCCTCTCTTAATTACCACGTGGTAAACCTTTGGACTGTTCCCCTGTTTCACTTGTGTAAAATAAGAATTTAAAAGTGAAGGTTGGTGTAGAAACTGTCAGAGAGAGGGATAAACAGGATGAATGGATGGGGTAGTCTTGCCATCATTTGAAGTTAACTTTATTCACTGAAGTTGATATTACTATAAGAAAAATGATAAGAACTGTATTATGCGTACTTGTGTTTAACTATTGTAAATCAAGCTATTTCTGATTAGTTAATACCTATGTTAGTCTGTTAATCACAATAGAAATACCACAATATATTACACAATAAAAATGCCACACTATATTAGGTTTGTAGACTATAAATATGTATATACATATAATTATAAAAAATCCTGTATCCATAATATATATTATTATCTTCACTCAGATGTTCCTGTAATAAAATTTGCTCTGAATTTTCTTCAGAGAAAGGCACCAGTCAGTGGTGGGTGCCACTAAAAGGATTTAGGATTTTTCAACCAAAAAGAGAATTTCTTTGGAAGATTGACTTTTTTTAAGTATAAAAGTCTGTCAAATTTAGCGTAAGAAAGTATGAAATTATTTTAAAGATCTTTCGACTATACGTTTTCTAATATGGTCAGTTTTTTGTAGGAGAAATTGTCATTTTTAGTGAAAGAAAAAAAAAACGATCTCATTATGAGTTGTGAACAGTAAAAAGTTACAGAAGCAGCTGATGATTTAGTTGTTCCCTTTCCGAATTTATGTTATTTTAAACAAACAAGTCATCTCTGTGATGTCGGAATTCACCAATCGTAATCTGATGACAAAACATTAAATACCTTCCTTTTTCCTAAGCCGAAGCTCGTTTTTTGTAATGTTGAAGAAGGGATCTGCAGATCTGATCATGGTTCGATTTTGTATTAATCTGGAAGGAAAAACGGACACCAGAACAATTTTCAAAAAGAGCCAGTGCTTGATATATGTTTCTGATATCTTGCAGCTAAGGCATTCTTATACCCGTTTCAAAAGTTGTATGATCACAAATAACTGTCTCCTCAGTGGAAGTGGATTATCATTTTGTATTTGTAAGCCTTGTCAATAAAGGGAATTATATTGAAGGCTTAATAGTTTTGTAGTTCTTTTAAGACGATATAGTCTAGTGAGATTTTTAAAAAAAGGCTCTGCATAAGAGGCAAGGGGCATTTTGGGGTAAAAGTTGAGAACCAGGCTTATTAGCATAATTTTGGGATGCTGAATTCGATTTACCCGGTTCCCAAGCGAAATTTTGCATTTTTAATGGTCTAATTTGCAAAAAAACAAAATGGCCGCCAGATTTCCTATTTTCTGCAATACCTCTGGAACTAGACAGGCAAATATGACAAATGAAGTGTCTTTACCTATATTTTCAGGGTCGAGGAACATTATTAAGATGTTTCTGTTAAGATTAGATTTACGCAATATTCCTAAATATGCAAATTAGGATCGCCATTACTGAAAAACCGTTTTACTTCTGTATCTCTGTAACTAGGCAAGCAAACATGACAAATGAAGTGTCTACACCTATGTTCTCAGGGGCAGGGAATGTGATAAATCAGATGTCTTGTCTTATGGGTAGCAGTGACTTTGTGAATCGTGTCCGAGTAGCACCTTTTATTGTTTCTTCCCTGTATCTGTCAAACACAAGTCAATCTGCTGATAGTTAGAACCTGCCTTCAGAACTGCTCTTTCGTACGTGTCAGCCAAACTACCAAAGGTCACTGCATTGTCAGGCTTTCCCAGTGAAATTGTCATTGCTTGCCCATCAATTATAAGGCAAGGTGAGCAGAGGTGGACCCAGGATTATTTGAAGGGGGAGTCCACGGATGCAACAGGTTAGGGGCCTGTTGAAGGGCCATGAAAAATTTTGGTATTTAAGAGGGCGAACGGTGCCATTTGGTATGGTTTACAACTATGATTCAGCTAGTCAAAATTATAATTTCAAGGGGGGACCAGAATACGAGGGGGGGGGTCAGGGCCCGCCTTACGTAATATGTGGCAGTTTCTCTGAGCAGTCCTCTGTGGCTGGTTACAGAATGCGTATAAATGGGCAGCAGTTCTGCAGAATAAGTCTCTATATTTCGACAACGTCCAGTCAGAAGAGTTTGATATTTTGCAGACTCTTAGCTGACCTTACGGTATGTGAACTAACGGCAGCAACTTGCCACACTATTGTTGCATTATGCCAGAATGGACAGAAGCAAACTGCTATTGCCAGACAGCTGAATGTGTCCCAGGGAGCAGTTTCTAACGTCTTACAGAAACACGCCCAGACTGGTGCATTAATATATTAACACAGAGACCACGGCCAGGATATCCTAAAGTCACCACCAGAAGGGAAGACCGCTTGCTTCTGCGGTTATGTCGCAACAATCGGACAAAGACAACTCTTGCTGTACAAAATGAGTGGCAAATTACCATTCAAAAGCATGTTTCTAGAACTCTAGTTAATGCAAGGCTACTTTTAGCTGGTTAACTCTATGAACAGAGCAACATGGTGGGCTAGACGCCATTTGCGGTTCCAGGCACAGCACTGGGTTCATGTAGATTTTTACAGATGAGGCAGGGTTTGAGTTCCACCACCGCGATGGCTGAATCAGAGTCAGTAGGTTTCCAGACTAGTTACTGCACGAGGATTGTGTCACACTACAGTGACTTGTGGCCATGGCAGTATCTGTGTATGGGCCGGTTTCTACTCTGGAGCCAAAACACTATTGGTGGCAATTGACGGAAACCTCAACCACATAAAATACAGGGACATTTTAGAGAATACTTGCTTGCAATTTGCAAGAAGGTACTTCCAGGACAACTTCATCCTGCAATACCCGACCACACCATGCCCATGCAATAACTGCTTTTCTGCAAAACCAAGAGGTAAACCAGTTGCCCTGGCCGACGAAAATCGCCTGACATGAATTCTATAGAAAACCTGTGGGCATAATTATAAATCGCTAGCAGAATCAAGAGCTTACCCGTCCACCCTACAAATTGCCACAAGCTTAGGCAAGCTCTGACTAATGCGTGTAACACAATACTGGATCATACTCTCAGAAACCTCTCTGCATGGAATGAGGGCTCTGGTTGCAGCTAGAAGAGGCTGCACGCGTTGTTATCAGTTTCCATTTTTCACATTTGTATAGATGATTCTTTTGTGTGAGAGAAAATCCTTACCAACTGATATTCTTGATAATATCGAGTTCATAAGAATTTAATACCTCATTGTTATCAGCTATAAAATTATCCATGCGCTGTTTATAACGCTGATTTGAATACGTATTTAAATTAAATTTTCGATGATGTATTCCCACGGGTTGATTTATTAAAGCCATATCGAACACGATAACAAGTGTTTTTTCATCCATTACTAATATATGGGAAAAAATTCAAAGAAAATATGTTTGAAAAAAAATCCATTTTAAATGTGAAGTCTGTACATTGCATCACGTGAATTACTTGATTCAGCAAATCCCTCCATTGCATTAATAATAATCTTTTTTAAATCTAGGTAAAAGGGGCAGTTGTGTGATCCAATATGTTTACATCCCAATGGCAGCGCAGTATTTAATTGCAAAATTCAATTCAGATTCGAATAATTGCTACAGTGTGACAGTGTAGCACTCATTGCTGATTTGATTATAGTGAAAATGTCTTAATCACTTTCCCTAACGCTGAAAACATGGGTGTGGGCACTTCATATGTCATGTTTGCTTGCCTAGTTAACGTAAAAGCAGTTCTGAAGGCAGGTTCTAACTATCAGCAGATTGACTTGTGTTTGACAGATACAGGGAAGAAACAATAAAAGATGCTACTCGGACACGATTCACAAAGTCACTGCTACCCATAAGACAAGACATCTGATTTATCACATTCCCTGACCCTGAGAACATAGGTGTAGACACTTCATTTGTCATGTTTGCTTGCCTAGTTACAGAGATACAGAAGTAAAACAGTTTTTCAGTAATGGCGATCCTAATTTGCATATTTAGGAAAATTGCATATATCTAATTCTAACAGAAACATCTTAATAATGTTCCTCGACCCTGAAAATATAGGTAAAGACACTTCATTTGTCATATTTGCCTGTCTAGTTCCAGAGGTATTGCAGAAAATAGGAAATCTGGCGGCCATTTTGTTTTTTTGCAAATTAGACCATTAAAAACACAAAATTTCGCTTGGGAACCGGGTAAATCGGATTCAGCATCCCAAAATTATGCTAATAAGCCTGGTTCCCAACTTTTACCCCAAAATGCCCCTACTATTCATCTTTTTTGGAAATCCCACTAGACTAATACTTCACCCTCTTCAGATGAAATGACAAATAACAAAACCTCGATTGAACTGAAATTTTCTTGAAAATAAGAAGCAGATGATGTTTTTTTCTTTACAGAAGGTATCTGTGAAATGCCGACCTTGTATATTTGTACGCGCTGAAATAGTAAACAAATTTTAAATACAATTTTTTAACGGACTTCTTGTGCACCCAGTGGTCAGAGAGTATAGTAATGTAGACCGTAGATTTGGCGAGAAGAGACCGTAATACCAAGCCCAGTTTCCGCGGTGAATGCTAATTGTGCGCCGTAGACAGCGATCGGCGGTCGTCTCGGTCTCGATGCAAAGCGAAGAGAGACCGTAACACCCAGTTAAATGTTTAAGTTAAATGCTTAAAAATGGATATATTTAGACTTTTTATTGCAGACCGAGAGACGAAAGTCATTTTGGGTGTGGGTTTTATTTGAGTTGACTTAAACTATTGCTTGTTATATCTCCCTAATGTGAATCTTTAATGCCCTGCAAAATGTTTTTGATGCAGCTATTCATTAAGCTATTCATTAATATCTCTGTATTTTACAAGTCCACGAGCCGCTGTCCCTAGAAAAATATTACCTGTTGATTAAAGAATGGCTTCCTCATTCACAAAAAAGAACGCTGCTACTGATATGTAGTCGCCTTTGATCAGCTACCTGTGATCACTAAGATTAGCTACCTGTGATCTGATAGCCGCGGTCAGTTATCTGAGATTAATTACCTGTGATCAGCTACCTGTGATCTGATAGCCGTGAGATTAATTACCCGTGGTTCGTTACCTGTAATCAGCCAGACATGCTCAATTAACTTTGGTTTCACACCTGTTGCCTCATCTCTGTAGATTTGAGTGATCAAAGGGTGAGCGGGTTTTACAAATTAACTTAAAAAAGAATTACCTGAGGCCACTGTACAGGTAATAAAACGGATCATAAGCAGAGAGCTAATTAGCTGTACTGAGCAAAAGCCTCATTGGTTGTTTAATTGTTTGGGAAAATATTAACAATGACCACCTCCCCCCTAGTATNTTTTCTTAAAAAAGGGATATTTAAGATGAGAAATGAACCAAAACAAAAAGCCAAACTGTAAAGTGAGGAAGCCTACATGAAAAAATACCACTCCCTTTTTCTGTGCAAAGTTTGGGATTTTCTAACCATGCATTGTAAAAACGGATATTGTGAAGAACATTTAGTAATTTCATTTTAATATTGTCAATTATTGTCAATTATGTAGCTTTTAAGGTTGTTGTCTGAGAGAAGAAATTTAAGTAATTGATTTTAATATTGTTTGAGTAAACAACATGTTACTTCAATATTTCCTGCCATCCATAACACTCTTTATGTGATGATTTCTGAAGAAATTAAAGAATATTTTTCTGTAGATGTTGATGAGAAGAATGAAGAAGAAGAAGAGGAAGAAGATGATGATGAAGATGATGAACAGGTTCTCTTTGAGAAGAGAGGAACTCTTTCTTACAAGGAGGGAGATAAGTGGAAGGTAGGGAATTTTCTCCCTTTCAGTGGAGCAGTTTGGAATTTGTAAACGATATCTCTGAAGAAATTATATTAAATGTATCTATTTATCAATTTAAATGTAATGGAACGAACCTTGAGTTAAATCTCCAACATGACTAGATTTGTAGATAGTTTACTGATTGCAAATTGATTCTGTCACATTTTCAAATTAAATGCCAACTTGCAGCATTAAAATGGAAGCTAACTAGATAGTACCTCATTTATTGGAAAGTAAATTCTTGCACAGAAATTGTGTTAAATGTGGTGTTTAATATTAGACTGTTGGCATGGGCAACTTCAAAGTGATATATGATGACGACGTGAACGGCTCTCGCATCTACATGTGCTCAGATGATGACCAGATGTTATGCAGCCACCTTATTCTGCAGGAGATGAGCATAGAATGGTGAGTGGTTTCACTTTCATTTTCTGGTTTCACTTTCATAACCTGACAATTTTTTTGTAGTTCATGTTTACAGTATATTTATCAAGGAAATGTTGTTTCAGTGCTATGTTAAGATGATTCACATTTTTGTGCCTGTGTTTCGAAATATGGGACTTTTTAAATATTTTTGCTGTATGATATAAAAAATTTTTATCTCAGTAATGAAAAACTAAAGAGCTGCACCTGGGATGCCCATGACTTCGCCACAGATGAAGCTGTGAGGAAGAATTTCAGAATTCAGTTCAGTTCTGCCCAGGCTGTGAAGGAGTTTAAGGACGTGTTCAATCAGGTGAGGTGCATTATGGGTGCAGAATTATTGCCCTAAGAGTTTGTTTATCTTTAACTGGAATATCTTTTTCCCCTCAGTGTGTGAGTACTAGTAGTTGGTGCCTGTTTCCATTGTTGAATTTTTGGCTTTATTTTATTTTCCTCCAGGGTTTAGATCTTGCCAGAGAGAGCGAGCTCTCAGAAAAGGACATCATCACGGTGCCCTCAGAGATTATGACACCAGAGGTCGCTGGTATTGGAGCGACACCTGGTGAGGAGAATGATGTGCCTTTCTACCAGCAGGGGGCGACACTGAAGGATCTAGTGCAAGGTGGGCCCATGTTATAATATCGTAAGCTTGAAACAGTGTTTGTGTTATTTATCTATATTTTGTCAGAAGTTTATGTCTGATAATTATGAGCGACCATTGTAAGGGACCATTCATAATGAATTTTGTCAACCTATCTAATGTGCCCCAATATCAGCTAGACCGACAAGATTCATTGTGAATAGTCCCTTACATATTTTGATAATGGCATCCAATATTTAAGAAATAGTGTCCAAGAATGTGATATTTTTATCTAAATGTTGTCATTTCATAAAAAAAAAAAATATTTGAAGTTGTTCTTAATTGTTTCCTCATCCTTTTTGCAGGTGCTCTAGATACAAAAGAAGAAAAAGAGGGATAAAAAGATTCAATTTAAACACAGAATGTTAAATGTTCACTTGTTAACAACAGCTGTTACAGGAATCCTATCGCCTGTCTACGTTTCAAGCACAGTGCTGTTCACCTGCATATTATCTGTCAGAACTTTATGGAATTCAACAGGCAATTTTGACTTGGATACGAACTCAGTTTTTATCAGTATCATAATTATGGACAATAAAATTCATTAGGACATTTGGAGGAGAAGAAACAAGTTAAGGGAGCTAGAGGAAGTGCCTTGTGATTGTTGAAGTGAACTGGATACTGAATTTCACTGTGTTTTGGAGAGACATAATTATTTTGGTTGTTTTATACACTGAGCATGTCTATCCAATCCCCACCCTCTCTTAATTAGCACGTGGTAAACCTTTTGGACTGTTCCCCTGTTTCACTTGTGTAAAATAAGAATTTAAAAGTGAAGGTGAAAGAAACCATCAGAGAGAGGGATAAACAGGATGAAAGGATGGGATAGTATCGTCTTCATTTGAAGTTAAATTTATTCACTGAAGTTGATATTACTATAAGAAAAATGATAAGAACTGTATTATGCGTACTTGTGTTTAACTATTGTAAATCAAGCTATTTCTGATTAGTTAATACGTATGTTAGTCTGTTAATTACAATAGAAATACCACAATATATTACACAATAAAAATGCCACACTATATTAGGTTTGTAGACTATAAATATGTATATACATATAATTATAAAAAATCCTGTATCCATAATATATATTATTATCTTCACTCAGATGTTCCTGTAATAAAATTTGCTCTGAATTTTCTTCAGAGAAAGGCACCAGTCAGTGGTGGGTGCCTCTAAAAGGATTTAGGATTTTTCAACCAAAAAGAGATTTTCTTTGGAAGATTGACTTTTTTTAAATATAAAATTCTGTCAAATTTAGCGTAAGAAAATACGAATTTATTAGGAGGTCTTTCGACTATGTTTTCTCATATTGTCAGATTTTTTGTAGGAGAAATTGTCATTTTTAGTGAAAGAAAAAAAAAACGATCTCATTATGAGTTGTGAACAGTAATAAGTTACAGAAGCAGCTGATGATTTAGTTGTTCCCTTTCCGAATTTATATCATTTAAAACTAATAGTAAGTCATCTCTGTGCTGTCAGAATTCACCAATCGTAATCTGATGACAAAATATTAAATACCTTCCTTTTTCCTAAGCCGAACCTCATTTTTTGTAATGTTGAAGAAGGGATCTGCAGATCTGATCATGGTTCGATTTTCAATTAGTCTGGAAGGGAAACGGACACTACAATAATTTTCAAAAAGAGCCAGTGCGTGATGTAATATGTTTCTGATATCTTGCAGCTAAGGCATTCTTATACCCGTTTCAAAAGTTGTATGATCACAAATAACTGTCTCCTCAGTGGAAGTGGATTATCATTTTGTATTTGCAAGCATTGTCAATAAAGGGAATTATATTGAAGGCTTACTAGTTTTGTAGTTCCTTGATGACGATACTTCACCCTCTTCAGATGAAATGACAACAAAACTTCGTTTGAACTGAAATTTCTTGAAAATAGCTAAATTTTATAGTCGAAGCGGTGATGTTTTCTCTATGTATACAGAAGGGATCTGTGAAATGCCGACCTTGTATATTTGTACGCTCTGAAATAGTAAATAAATTTTAAATACAATTTTGTAACAGACTACCAGCACACCCAGTGGTCAGAGAGTAGTATTGATGACCGCAGACGCTGACCGGTGCTCAATTTAGCGGGAAGCTACTTGTGTGCCGTAGACACCGATCGGCGTTCTCAGGCTCAATGCAAGGCGAAGAGAGACCGTAACACCCAGTTAAATGTTAAAGTTAAATGTTTATAAATGTATATATATTTAGACTTTTTATTGCTGACCGAGAGATAAAGTCATTTTGGCATGTGGGTTTCATTTGAGTTGAGTGAAACTATTGCTTGTTATATCTCCTTAATGTGAATCTTTAATGCCCTGCAAAATGTTTCGATGCACTTAAAACTGTCCATAAATGTCTCTGTATTTTACAAGTCCACGAGCCGCTGTCCCTAGAAAAATATTACCTGTCGATTAAGGAATGGCTTCCTCATTCACAAAAAAAAGCCAATTCAATTGGTAACTAGTCACCTTTGATCAGCTACCTGTGATCTGATAGCCGCGGTCAGTTATCTGAGATTAATTACCTGTGATCAGCTACCTGTGATCTGATAGCCGTGCAATTAATTACCCGTGGTTCATTACCTGTGATCAGCCAGACATGCTCAATTTACTTTGGTTACATACTTGTTGCCTCATCTCTGTAGAGTTGGGTGATCAAAGGGTGAGCGGGTTTTACAAATTAACTTAAAAGAATTACCTGAGGCCACTGTACAGGTAATAAAACGGATCATAAGCAGAGAGCTAATTAGCTGTACTGAGCAAAAGCCTCATTGGTTGTTTAATTGTTTGGGAAAATATTAACAATGACCACCTCCCCCCTAGTTTATAAGAGGAGGACCACTCACGAATATCATTGTCATTTCAACTGGCACTAGAAGACGGAACGTTGTATAAGCTACGCGTAGACGTATTTGTTGAAGACGACATATTAGTGTAATCGAGCATTAGAACCTCACGTGATCGAGTTAATTACATCGTTTTGGGCTTTTAGAGACATCGTCAGTTATCCCTTTAATTCAAACAGATGGGTGTAGTCAGGATGGTGGATGTCGTCCTCTTTCTCTTTTTCGTCTGGACCTGGGGCACTGTTGACAGTCAAATGGAGCAGGGCGTGGAGTTAGGAAGATGTCGAACTCGTTGTTTAGAGGTAAGAACAAAATTGGCATTTCTTCGTGTCACGTAGGTTTATTGGTCGTTTTTATTATTAGATACGTTATTATAATTCAATATGTAGGTAAGCGGGTAAGTTAAAAATGATGAGTAAATGAATTAGTTATATATTTCTTTGCGATGAAAGGTTCATCGGGTCAAATAGGTCTTACCCACACCAGTAAAAAATAAATAAAAACCGTAGCAGTAAAAAATTACAGAGGTCGGTTGATAAATTTAAGGTTGTCGCTTTCGAAAAGCGGCTATTTTGACCAGCACCCGTTGTAACTATAGTGGTCGAACCATCTTAAGCGGCATTTAAGTGATATTATTATTATTATTATTATTATTATTATTATTATTATTATTATTATAATGCGCCAAACACATGGAATCGTAATTCAAGAAGCGTTCGGGTTCAGTGCTATTTGAAATAAAAATTCTTTAATGCATTTTAAAGATTTCATCCTACATATGATTTCATTGTAGTTTCTCAAGTTGGAAGTGAACGATGAAGAATGTATGAAAGATGGGAACTGTAAAATGGTAAGTATGAATTCAAGGAGTTTTCTACACTGATTTAATTCACACAGTTTTGCGTCCAAAAATACATCTTAAGGGAAGCTTAGTGTAGGGATCCCCATAGAGTAGCTTTGACTTTCAAAGTGTACTCAAATCAGATAATAAGCGAAACGATCGAAGCATACGCTGTGTACATTTAAGTCGTCACAACTTCCCTGACGTCCAGGGTGTTGCTGTCGTGTAAACAGTGTGTATATAGTCTGACCACGGGTACCTTGATTATCAGGGTGCGTCTGTAGTTATACCAGAATGTCACCGTGTTTAATTGTTCTCATTTCAGTGCTGGGAGACATGTGAATACCTTCAGTGGGAACCTCACACCTGGGACTACATGTGCAATGCACCCCATATATGTGTAAGTACCATCGTGGCGCTTAGTAACTGGACATGCGAAAATTTTGACGCTTTGAAAATGTTACTGCTAGCAGTAACGATGCCATTCCTCACTGAATACCAAATGGAAATATATATATATTTTTTTAGGTATTTCCCGATTTATAGCAAAGTGTAAACTTAATTAACTTAAGTCTACAGGTATGCAATTACATTGTTTTATTAGGTCTTTGTTAGGTCTTTAGGTCTTCTTCCAGTTTCCGGGTTGTAAGAGTTCCTGTGCATTCTGGGAAAATCACTCAGCAGGTAAAATTTACTCAATTTCAAATTAATTTTTTGGAAATGATTCTTCTATTTGTTCACTGCTTTTAATCATGTTGATCAGTAATAGCGGGAGGGGGGGGGGGTTAACTTTTAAGTGTGGTGGTGAAGAGTAATAAAAGTGTTAAATTTTCTCAACTTGATAATACGTCTTTAATTGATTAAGTGCTGTAATACGACATTCTTCACACTTCTCGTAGAATCCATATTGTAGTTTTCTGGCGCTTCTAAAACTCAAGATGTTTTTCCTTCTGTATTTTAGTAAAAGCAGCGACTGCCCACCACGAGCTTGTGAAACCTGTACAAGTCACCTATAATAAAGGAACTCTGCGTTTGGAGTGGATGCCGCCGAATCTGGGACAAACCTCTGGCCATGTCATCTATATCCTAAATAGCCGAGATGCAGGTCACAACTTTGAGGATTGGTATACAGATATTCAGGTCAGTGGGAATACACCTCAATGAGGAAAACATAAAAACAGGATTATTTATTAGTATAGTATTTACTGAGAAGGCTGCACGTTTAGAATTTGCATAGCTTAAACCGGACAAAGACGAACTGACGAAAATGTTCCAAAAAGTGACTGGCCGTCTTATATATTTCACAGTTTGGGTTTCTTGGCCTTGTTATTTTAATAATTTTGACGCTACATAAAGGATGCGTGATGAATACCTAAAATAATACTGTTAATAATACATTTTCCCAATTTTTTTATTTCAGACTGCAGACACGTGGGTAGAGTACGAGATGAATTGGTTTCCATATTTCAAGTTTCAATTCCAGCTCTTAGTTGTCAGTGAAAATGGAATTGTGGCTATTTCAGAAACGAGGATACTTGATATCAGCCAGTTAAATGGTAAGTACTTGTCCAGTGGGAAGATGACAGTATTACTTTAAAACTCATGGGCGTTTCTCAGGCCTGCAAACTAGTTAAATACGGAAACTGTTATTATCCCTCATTATAACAAAAGCAATTTTATCTAATTAATGAAAATGTCACTGAGCAATATTTTACTTAATCTAAATACTGACGAAAAACTAAATTGAAAATCAATGCTACCAAATGATGTCTTTATTGAGAAATTTGTTAAAAACAATCAAATTATATCTGCAGCACTTCCAAGTCTACCCAGTGTTCAGGATGTCCCAACAAGCACCACCTTTACCTCTGCTGACTCTCTACGTACCACCGCAGCAACAACCTTACCACCAAGCCCCACATCAGCACCATTAAGCTCTCCAAGTACTACAGCCAAGCAAACCGACCTCCCAAGCACCACATTAGCACCAACTGGTCACCCAAGCACCACAGCACCAACAACTGGCCAGCCAAGTACCACGACGGCACCATCTGCCACTCCACGTGTCCCTGCAGCACTTGTTGATCCAATGAACATCTCCGTGACAGCAGGGCGAAACGGCAGCACCATCTATGTTTTTGTCCACTGGCAGCAGACGTCTGCAGAACCCACTGACTACAGTATCTTCTGGGGCCTGGAGAGCTGCAATGGCTGCACTGCTTCTACGTCTGACTACTATGTCACACATGTTACTGATGTCATGGAAGAGGTAAGTTGTACTGTGTAATTTCCATAAAATGGTCAGTTTTTCTTCTCGATACTAAGGTTCTCTTGGAAAAAATCTATTTACTCAATTATCTGATCTAAAACATATCTTAAAAGATGTGATAGAAACTAGGAGTAGAAATGTATAGGCCTATAAAAGTTGGCCCCACAATATTTGGATATAATATGTTTTGATTGATTGATTAACCTTGACGAACTATGCCTATTGTAAAGCAATAATTCACATTTTAAGCAATACATTTTTTTCTCCAGCACACTGAGGTCAGGCTGATAGCAGAATGGACATTTAACTCGAAATACTGGTTACAAATTGAACGCAGATCAACCGGATCGTTTTCCCCAAGGATTTCCTTTTACACTCCCGAGTGTGAAAATACCGATTCTACCTCCACCGTGTGTCTTCAGTCTAAGGATGAGGATGAGAAAGATTATAATGGTAAGTGTAGCAGTGAATACAGTGATGTAATTTATCAAAAATTCATAATAAAAGTGAAATATGTCCAACACATAAAATTTATCAAGATTTGTGGACAAGAAAAAAACTCAACGTTTAATTACAGTACATGTGAAAAGACATTTCAATAAGTACAACTTAAATACGTCCAACTAACAAAATTTATCTAGAATTATGGACATGATAACCCCCCCCCCCAAAAAAAAAAAAGTTTCCACGTTTAATTATGTGTGATAATATATTAAAATTTTTTAATCGGACTTAATTGCTTTTCTTGCATGGTGCTCATTTTATTTTATTTTATTTTATTTTTTCAATTTTAGCTGACCACGTCAGAACAGAGGAAACCAAACCCAGTCACGTGATCGTCGTTATATGCGTGGCGGTCAGTGTTGTAGTGGTCATCGTCAACGTCATCATTTGTATTAGATGTCACTGGAAACGTACAAGGGTCATCGAGAGAAGAGCCAGGGCTATGGGCAGGAACAACAGTTACAACGGTAGGCAGTGTTTCTTATATATATCTGTAACATTCATTATTACTACATATGATGATTATTGGTGTCAATATATGCGAACCATTTATAATTATCATAAATAATGAAATAAGTTTGGTGTCAATATTTTGATTCTCTGAGTTTACGCACGCTGATTTGCTATGTATCTCCCTTAACATGCATTTAAGTATTATGTATTTCAGTATATTACGGTTGTCTTTCTAAGTGTCAACTAATTTACAGATGTAGCTTTCATATTTGCTGTAGCAGATGTAGCTTACTATTTGCGTCGACTTTCACAAATTCCTATGAATAATATCAATATATTAGCCTTCTGACTCTTTGCTATTCATTTTACTATTTTTAAGTATATCACACAATTTTACCAACGAACACGCACGTCTAAACAGCTGTTTTCTCTTATTTCAGGCCCAGGATTGTATTCTGATGACCAGCTGGTTTCTGTGCAGGACAAGTGGGAGCTTGACCCCATATGTCTGACCTTTGGTCACCAGTTGGGACACGGGGCATTTGGCAAGGTGCTCGTTGGGTCGTGTGACGGCAAGAAAGTAGCCATCAAAATGGTGAAAAGTAAGTATTCAAGCTTAATTTAGATGCCTTTTATTTATTAATCGTTATCTAGTTGAGATATTTACAAGCTGTTTCACACTGATGTTATTCCAGATTAAATGTTCTTTTTACTTTATTATTACTTTGTTGTTATTATGAAACTAAACGCATTATATTTTGAAAGGGTGTCGCATGTTTTAGTGCTAAAAAGAACAGAAATATTGTTTTTTGTATTAAAAAATACAGCATTCACTTTATAAAAAGGGGTATTAAAAAGTGATAGCGTTATCAATTATTCATTAAAATACCAATCTAAACAAATATTTTTTTGTTATTGTAGGTAATGCCCCATCTTCCTACAAAGCAGACCTACTTGCAAAGATCAGCTTGATGAAGAAGATAGGAAACCACCCCAACATCGTCTCTATGATCGGTTCCTGTACACTGAGACAGCCAGTGGCCTTGGTAATGGAGTATATGCCTCATAGGGACCTACAGCACTTTCTAAGGTATAAAATCGTGAAAGCGATATCTCTTTTGAAAAACAATTTTTGATGATGTTTTTAGAAAAGGAAAGATGTTATGATGAAATAAAACTTGAAATTAATAGTGTTCAAAAAATGGAAAATTGTACTGCTTAATTTGATATTATTGGGCCAATGTCATTTACATTGTTCATGGTGATGAAATTTTGTGCAATTGTCGTTATAATATTATTTGTTTATTTTGTTTCCATTATTCAAAGGTGAAATAGACAATTTTACATCTTTAAAAACTGTCTAATTAATGTCAACTAATATTTTTTTCTAATTCTAGACTCTGCCGTTTTGAAGGTCAACTTACGATGGCAGACCCTAAACACAAAGTCATTGAATACCCAAGGGTGAATGAAGATGGCAGCATTGAACAAGACACTCTCACTGCCAAGCAGCTTCTCTCATTTGCACATCAGATTGCTCTGGCTATGGTATGTATCATACCGTGTATCTTAATGAACATGATGTGCTTCTAGTTTGGAAGGCTTACAGATACTCCAGTATAAATTTTCTGGCATTCGTGTTATCCTATACTATATAAGGGTATATAGGGCCTATATATAAATGTTTAGGAAGTCATATTTTTAAGATACATATAATTTGCTGTTCAAATACAGGTTGTGTTTTCATGTCCAGACACTAATCTCTACAATTTATTCCAGGAATATCTGTCCAGCAAAGGATTTGTTCACCGTGACCTGGCTGCCCGTAACGTCCTGGTGGGAGCAGATAAAGTGGTCAAGCTCAGCAACTTTGGACTGTCGAGGGATGCTAACAATGACCTGGAGTACAGTAATAACCCTGCAAGGAAGTGGATGTCCCCCGAGAGTTTGAAGGACCGCACTCACAATGCACAGAGCGATGTGTGGACATTTGGAATCCTCCTTTGGGAGATTGTCACATTTGGTAAGTTGATATGGTTTGATTTTAACTAGGTTGAGTCAAAACTTCATTCATTTGATTGGAAAATACAGTGTTTTGAAAAGTAGGCCTTTATAAATAGGCCTTCATAAGTTTGGAACGGCGAAAATCTTTATGTGCAGGACCTATTATTTAAGTGCAGGAACAGTAACGTAGACAGATTAATGAGACCAATGCGGTCCTTTAGACCATGCTTGCCTATAGGCCCGTACAGTTGCCATATCAATGTTTAAGAAACCTAAAAATACAAGGCATACGGTGTTATAGAAGTTTACTTATGCACAGAACTAAAGTAGTTTTATTACCGACGGGTAGTATTGTCGATTGAGAAGTTCGATAGTTTTTTCATAAAGTTAAATTAAATAATCTCATTTTTTTTTTTGCTTGTATCTTGAATTTCAGTATTATGATTTTTTTTTCAAAAATAGTTATGGCAAATGAACAAAGAAAATCAAACTTAAATATGGACATCTGTGTGTTAATAAAATGTCCTTCATTCCACCGCAGGTGCAACCCCGTATCCAGATATTGCTGTAACAGAGCTAGCCACCAAACTGGATCAGGGCACTAGACTCAAGAACCCCAAGAACTGCTCCACGGAACTGTAAGTACCACTTCTATTCTACACCCTTCTTTTTTCAGCAAGGAATTTTAAAGTAACTAAATTATTAAGGGTCGCAGGGCTTTTTTGAACGATCCTTATCTAATTAGAAATTATACCTTAACGAGATTTTAACGCGACCGGGACATCCTTGTTGAATTCCTGTAAAAACTCAACAGACCTCATTTTAACCATTTAGTGCTTTCGTGAGATACTGATGAGATCCCAGAGCAATGTAAAATTAAAGGGCAAAATTGTATATGTACGCCATTGCGTCAAAATTTATCTGCATATTTTTGGCATTTATTCTTTCATAACCATTTACTGTTCAACCTCATTTTAAATACTGCATTCTGACATTCAGGTATATTCTGATGCTGCAGTGCTGGCACAAACTCCCCGAGAAGAGACCCAGTTTTACCAGCATCCGGCTTGAATTGGAAGACATGATGAGTCAAAACTGCGACTTCTTAGAACTTGAAAACCTCGTGGAGCCGATATCAGAAGAAGAAAGAAGCGGTCCAGTCCCTGACAGCACGTTTGAAAAGACGGAAGTGTTGAAAACAAGGGAGGATGAAGAGACTGAGGAGGTGGACGAAAGAGAGGAGGAGGATTACGTCCAAGAGCCACCTTTTACTAAAAAGAGAAGCTTAAAGAAAACCCTCTCCCAGTTATCAAACATACTGGATTCGACTAAACTGTCCAAGAAGTGTAGTGTTAATAGTCGTAAATCCGCAGGGTCCAGTGTCAGCTCCAGTAGACTGTCCATGAAAGGCAGTATCCGCCGGAAGTCAGACAAACATCAACGTTCTCTGGAGAACCTGATAGTGGATGAAATACTGGAAAGTGGAAGCGAGAGTAGCAGTGAGACACAGCTGGATGTGCTGAATGAAGAAGTCTTTTGAACTCTCACGTTATTTTATAAAGTAGGTGATCAACACCCTATATGAAGTTATGCAACTGTATATTTTTATCCCACTATTGCCAATATTCTCAGTGTCGGTGCTTTACAGTATACGATGTCAATTTTCTAAACGATATATTTCTTTCCTGTCTTTAATGCCAATCTGACATGAAATAATGACAAACGAAAATTCAAGTTTCATGTACATATTTTATTTCATATTTCGTAATAATTGTGAAATTTTGAACAACGAGCTTGTAACGGCAAATGTATATTTAAGTGTGAATTTAAATGAATTACCAGGATTAAACTTTGACCTAACATTGTAAACTTTAACATTGTTTCAAGATGAATTCAAGAATTCAAGATGACTAGCTCGAATTTTATCACCTGTAACTTCTGGTGTAAAAAAAAAAAACTGCCGATATTTCACTTATATGACCGATGTTTAAAGATGATGGTCGAAATTGTTTTAAAGCTGTAGTTACCTCATAACAGTATTATCACTTTGTATTATTGTCATTGCCATTATGCACATCAGAATATTTCAAACCATCTGTAAATAAAGTATATAAAATCATAACATTTTAAAGCTAGGATTTTATTATGCATTTGAATTTACTGAAGATTCTTTCTAATTTATTACTTCCCAATGTTTTATTGCACGATTAAGGGTAACTGTAAGAAAAGTGTATAGACTGAAAAGAGTGGTGCTTCTGAATAATTCTGCAATATGAACAAAAATGATAAGTAAAACTAACAACAACAACAACTATAATAATAATAATAATGTCATAATATGAGGTAATGTTGTTATCTTGCTGCGTGGTAAGAGTATTCCAGTAATGAAATTCAAAGAGGTTTGCAAATGGTTCTGTCAGCTGTGGATGTATGCGGCGCACTCAAATCGCGACACGTTGACCGCAGTTTTAACCAAACCCAAGATTCGACCGATATGTAAAGGTTGGGGAAAGAGGGACTTATGTCATTTTTAAAAGTCACCTTGATAAATTAAACACGAGAATCGGCTGGTATCAGAGCGTTGAATTAATGATTCTTTGTTTGCCTTAAATATTTTAGCATTTAGAACAGCCGTGCCTCGTGTTTAATTTTGTATAGGAACAATATACAGTTTTGGTATCTAAATAAAATCTATCAAGAAAACAATCCCAATAATAATGATAATAATGAAGTTGGCATTGGGATCGATTCTCAAACTGGATCTTATTTTTTAAAATCAAGGCCACAACGTTCCGACTTTATTACAAAGTCTTCTTATAGTGAACTGAGGTTGAGTTGTATGACAAAATCCAGTTTAAAAATCAAATTCAATTTCATCTTTATCACACTTTAAATTACTTGAAATACTAAACTTAATTGCTTATTATTAACTTTATGATCTTTCGTAGAGTCTCAGGAATTATTGCTTCCTTGCCTGACTGAACATATACCAGTAATTCAATTCACAAATAATGTTAAAAAAACATACGTATATTCTTTCCTCGGCGTGTGGATATTACATAAATGTACAATATATGAAAATCACCCCCACAAATGTTTTAAAGTTATTTTTTACGTACATCAAGTAGTTATCAACTAAAGTAAATATGTAACTGAATTTGATTATCATTCTACAGCAGATCTTACGTTCTGCAAAAATTTTAATTTATAGAAATGTTGACCTCCGCTTTAAAAGATAAAATTCTGTGTAAGAATCAAGCTTAATACCATCTTCGTTATTTTAAATTGGCACTGTCCGCCTGTTTGATTTCATTTAGATGCCAAAATCGTCTTTTCTGCTTATAAAAATTTAAAAAACGATGCACAGCTGTGATAAATCCTTTCCTGTCCAAGACCCTGCTTCCAATCATTAATTTAATTCACTGAAACCACCCGATATTGATAATTTATCAAGGTGACATTGGAAAAATATACATAAGTCACTACTTCCCCAAACTTCGTCATAAACAATCTCGATCGATTTAGCTCGGGTTTGGTTGAAAAAGTGATCAATTGGTCGTGATTTCAGAGGCAGAATACATTCCTCACAGCTGACAAACGGTAATTTGTGCGAAGATCTAGATCTGCAATCATGCAAATATCTCTTATCGCCTCCTTGCTTATGACGCTCCTCACGTTCGAACAGTCGGTGTGTACCATAAAAACCGAGGAGGGGCCTCCCGTGCTGGAAATCAAACTGGAAGAAATTCCCGAGGGCCGAACATTAATGGGCATGAAGAAGGAAAACCCTGCAGAAATGAAAAAGATGATGAAGGCAAAAGGACTGATAGACATCTCCGAGGAGGAAGGCTTAGGTAAATTTCAAATATTAAGCTAAAACTTTTGACAAATTTTAAAAATCGAAAGCCCGTACAAGGGCTAATGCAGAGATATTTTCTGACAGTCTTCCTAATTATCTTTGTTGATCCATCCTCGATTTTTGACCGTCTTCTGACAGTAAAAAATTAAATAGCCGTCGTCAATCCGCCTCTGCCGTAGACCGTATCATTGTCGTAAATAGCAGTACACAATTCTTAAACGGGCGTTGTTCGGGGTGAACTTGTAGTGGTCGTGATAATGGTTGAACCTGTTGTAAGTCCCGTACCCTTCCTCCTTTGGTGGTTTAAGGAGGCATTTATAGAATAGATAGGATGTCTTAAACTTAGAGTTATTCACTTGCACAAATCTGAAGTTGTGCTTTTTCTTACTCTGACCACATTAGTGCTTAAAACGATATTTAAAACCATACATCTATAATATTTTTTATTATCACATTCTAGTGCCGCTGATAACCGCCACAGATGGTACGGCCATTCCCAACCAGTACATTGCCCATCTTCTGCCTGATGGAAATAATAAAAGAAGTAGGTGCACCACTTAAAATTATTAAAAAATTGAATGAAGTACAATTTTGTTTTACTTCTGTTTGATACATAACTGTAAAATGCAACATATGGAAGGTGCAATAAACAATGTACTGTACCCACAAGGGGTGCAGTTAACACGAATTCAATCATACAGCACTCGAAGCTTTTCAAAACGTAAACGTTTTAAAATGAGACAACCAAGAATTTAAAAAAATGAAAAATGAAATGGCAGTTTGGAAATAAAGGCGATAAGCGGATGAAAAGAGCCTTTTTTATATCCGACTGCAAAGTTTCTTCCTTTACGTATTATGTGGCATTAATGATATATAAGAAAGTTCTGTATTTTAAAACGTGTGAGAATAGCTCAGAGGAAAAAAAATTAGTGCCAATCCTACATGTAGTTACTGAGAGATTACTGAAAGTTAAACCTAATTAACTTAACCTTGGAAAAGAGAAGCTTAAAAAGATATGCGAAAACGCCTAGAATGACCCGTAGACGATTTTCTAACCAAAAAAATTGATTTCTCTCTCAAAACAAAGTAATAGCAAAAATGATATGGTATAAAACGACATCCAACTTGCATGCAAATGTGTCCGCTATTCGGGGCAGTGCGTGAGACTGATATCATTTTATATGCCAAGAATCAGTGAAAAGGGATCTTATTTCACAAGATATGTATTTTAGATATTCATTTATGATGGCAATTTAAAGCTTCAATTTTACACTCCTTACAGTTCAACGAATCCTAAAAAAAAGAGGCTTACTACAAATGGCGGAGTTCAATAAGGAAAGTAGCTACGTTATACTTAAGGGTGTAGATAAAAGGTATTTTATTTTCAACTCATTCCTTTTCGATGAAAAACCTTGGTTCATACTTTAGCGACCATTTAATTTGACATACATGTAATCTTCATTATTAGCTACTCGAGTTTTATCTTATATACCATTTTTATGGTATTCTACATGTATAAAAAGTTAAATGCAAAATAATTTCATAGATTTCATAGTTTGAATTCACTTGATGTTAGTTTTTAGAAGAACGTCCATACATTTCTTTGAAACATGCAAACTTTGTCCGGACTTCTGGCATTTATCAATGTTGCTAAAGTACTTCTCATTTTTTGGTAGAGATCTCAAAAGGCTTCGCAAGCTTACTGAAGACATTGAAGAAATTGAACAAGATAAAGAGATGATGTTAGATGGTTATCATTGTGAAAAATTCTCGGCCGCTGAAGCATGGGTAAAAGTCATTGTGTGTTTGCCCATGCTCATGTTTGAGTTTCCATACGTGTATATAATGCTTCATAGCTCTCTATTTGGCTACTATTATGCATAACCCTCTCTCTCTCTCTAGTTGTAAGTGTTTATGTCAATTTTATTTGGGTGCAGGTTTGTCTTAATATAAGCGACAAGACCATTGCCCTCCGCCAAGAAAAAATCTTGTATATCTATATTTTTCAATTTCAGCATTGCCCCAATAATTTTTTAATGATGTTTACTTCAATAATACTGCTGTATCATTTAATTTAAGTAACTTTTTTAAACAAATGAGGCTCTCTCTGCTTTAAATGGTTATGTTTGTAAGCGTACGTTTAGTTTGTTATAAATTTCACGTAATCATTCCAGCACTTAATGTACATCTGCGTTTGGCTATCTTCACAATACACTCTTTTTCACTGAAAGTGGTGACACCAACATCATTACATTAAGAGATCCAGATTCAATTAAATTGCAAACACTCCCTCGGTTTAACAAAATATAGATTTAAATGAAATTTTATTTAAAATGAAAACGATTTAAATAAAATTTCATTTAAAATAAAGAAATAAATAAAAAGTATATATATATATATATATATATATATATATATATATATATATATATATATAAATATATAGTCCTATTGTTTGTATTATATACCATTAAGATTTGTACATTCGGTTATTGACTTTGGCTCCCTGGTGGAGGCGAACATTGGCGAAAGCATACATAAAGGGGCGAGCACCTCTTTCTCTTCGTCCTAACCGTCTACCTTGCTATTATAGATTATTTGTGTTTTTATGCATACGTTTTACAAAAAGAGGTTTAACGGTGTACTTGTGCAGATATTTCTTCTTGAATAATTATTGTTACTTCATTAATGACTGATGAATTAGTGCATGTAAGGGTCCCGGTTCCAGTATTTATTTTTAGAAGGTCTACATATATATATATATATATATATA